GAAGTCTTGGTCTGAATCTTTATTTGCACACCGACTTCGGTGGGAAAACTTCGAAAGCCCTTAGAAATGATTTTTACGGTTTTTCCACGACCATCTGCATTTTGACCAAGACCATGTTAAAAATGAAAATGGAAGACCATAAAATTTATTTCCCGCGCGAGTGGCCATTTCACCAATGAAACTGGGAATACCACTTTGATTAGATTTGGACTTTATCTGGATTACGTATAATTTTAGCGAATCATTACTTAAAAGCATACAGGAGTTTCTAAAAAAATAATTCAATTCGCTGTGTTAAAACCAACAATCACTTTGACCTGGAGAAGGTACACACATAACTGAACTTATTTTTGAAATGGCATTGACACGATCTCACTTAATCTTTTAGTGGAAGCCGTAGGAAAAGTAGCGTAAGTAACTTTCTTGAAGGCGACCTTTTACATACACTTGTGTAATATTACTACACGAGACGAAACCGAGTACCGCCTTCAATACTTATTATGTCTGAGCATCCAATTCGTATAGACAGATTACACGGCAGCGATGTAATTGCATAATATACTATTTGGTTGGCAAAAATACAACTAAAGCATGTAAGGAAAAATATCGTATTATAGTTGAATTCATTATTTTTCTAATACGGTTGTAGGTTCGTGTCAATTTAATGTTTTGCAACCTATGAAATTTACTCGTTCTTTGTTTGAGAAATCTATGAGGAACCACATTAATTCTATCGTTTTTCTTAAGTATGTTAAAGCGTAGAAATATTTTATAAAGATAGGCATTTTTTGCCATAATGACCCCGCTGTAAGGTCCATTCGATTTAGATTCTGCGATAAATATACCGGTCTTTCCCTACATAAGTCCAGATTGCGGTCCGTAGTCATCTCAGTTGACACCGGGCCGTAGAGAAGCTCCTTTTGTTCTCGCCGGCCCCTGTCTGTATACCCTCCGGCTTGGGTCAGGTCGCCTATAACGCAAAATGTACCTTGTTTCCCGACACTAAACATACTTTGTTGTTTAACTTAATGTATCACATTTAATTGTTAGCGCGCTTATATAAAAATATTTACTTAAATGAGGTCCGCTGCATCTCGATTCGAGTAACGGGATAAAACTTGTTGAGACCGTGCAGCAGCGAGACAGGTTTGTGGTACAAACAGTTATATATTACGATTTGACAAAAATGCTGAAATTCTTCTACGATTAAAAACTCTTAAGATGTCTTCTACCGGTTAGGCCTAGGTAAGGTCACCGCAATTAGTGTTACACACATGATATTTGAAAACCGAAGCTTTTCTCGCATCGCTGATAATTACACGTGTTGCGAAAGAGAAGTTCGAAGCTTTTTTTCGCGTTGTATTGAAATTTTGCTCATCCATCATAAGGTGACCCTCCATACATCACATAACGTCTCCTTCCTAAAACTTCAATCATCACACTTCACTACACCCTGTCGTAAGATGTCATAATTTTCATGATTGAAATCGTTATGTGCGCACTCTGTGAGAGTTAAAGCGCAATTGTAAGATTATTTTGAAAAAACTGTATTTGTGTAGGCATTATTTGAGATAAAAATGATGAAGGAGAAAAGCTAACGTTTTTAATTCGGGCAACACCACAGCTGCATGGTCTATTCTATTCAGTCTTTACAATTACATGGGTACGTATACGGCACGTACAGCGTTTGTGAAGGGTGAGATTAACTGTATACAAGCCATTCTTTTACGTTGGTAAATCTTGTTTTATTGAACAATAAAATATGTGAACAAATGATAAAATATAACAAAAAGCTCCTTTTTGATCCTTTTAATTAAAAAATAGGCGTAATCGTCACAACAAAGTCAAATTTCCACTTTCAGCAATCGCAGTTTATGCGTTACGACTTTACACCTGCAAGGCTGTTGTCGTGTTCTTTGAAAGATAACTTTATGCAAAAATTTCACTAAAAAAAAAGTATGTTGTCTAACATTTCCTACGAACCGATTGTATTTTCGACCAGCGGGATAATGGGGCAATTAATTCTGCAGGAACCACCTCAAATGGTATTCTTAGTTTTAATTACAGTAATATAGTGAAATCAAGTGAAAGAGTTAGTGGAAGAGAAGAACGGCTGTTAGTTCTGTAAATTGAATATCGTCACCTTATACTTACATTGCAGAATATGGTATGCAATATAAATATATCGACAGGGGTATAATTTATTTTCAGACTTCAAATTTGGTCTATTTCGTCTTTGAAATTTCTTCAGTGTGTAATGTACATATAACCAAAACGAACATTTTTCTCAAAAAATGTTGTATTTAGATATAAAACTGTTGTGTAAACTACGTCATGCGGACGATGTCTGTATTCAGCACCTATGATAATGTTGGGTCACCATGTATATGTTGAATTTCATTTATTTTTTATGTTAAATGTTGGTGGCTAATTTAGAATGAACACAATTACGGTCGTGGTATTTAATGTTATGTATTAGAATTGTTGGATGTTTCATTGTTATTTAAATATTCGCCTTTTAATATGTTTATTTTACTGTGCAGTTGCAGATAAGAAAAACACAGAACAACGACGCCGTAATTGTTATAACAAAGAGAAGGTCGGAAAAAGGGGAAAATAATTGTTTCAAATAGAAAAGACGAATGTAAATCGTTGTATTTTGATGGTGGAGGCTTTTGGTGTATCGCAGCCAGCGGTAGTCGATCGTAATTTGTTGCAAGACAGGGAGTCATCAAAGAGCCAATTTTACATTAATAATTCAAACGAACCCAGTGGCACCTAAATCGAGATTCAAGTGCAATTAAAGCTAACAAATGAAGTTCCAGAAGCAACATCAGCTGATTTTTTTATGTTTTTGATTTTGGATTATTAACAGTTTAAGGTAATTATGATTTGTTTAATTAATTTGTTTCAATCGATCGCTTGTAGCGTGGTACATATATTTTGGCCCCAAGTGCCTACTTTTGTTTCAGCTTATTGGACTGATTTATGTGACATAACATTTGTTTCATCTGTAGTGGCAAATTAGAATCTATGTAGGAGTTCTCAAGTTAACATTTTTAGTCGTACCCAGGATTATATTAATGTTAATTCAAATTTGTCAAATAATTTTATTCTTTGGAATGGTCGGGAAACGGTTAAGGCTGCATTGTCGTGGAAAAACAAAATTTTTGAACTCAGATTTTTCCGACGCTTGATTTCATAGGATGAACTAAACTAAACTGCGATTTTCACGAACTTTTGCCTCTATTTGCATCACTAAGTCCTCAGTCTCTAGGCTAGGCGGTCCTCACAGTGAACATTGATGTGGTCATTTAAAATCAATGCACCATTCTACCTTCACTAATTATTCTATTTCCATATTTCACAAGGTTGGGGGTCGATTTCAATTGGTTTGTAGGTTTCAGCTAACAAAAACTAGTAACTGAACCCACTTCACAGGTGGCGGGGTTTTCAGTAGCAGCGTACACATTAACCAGTCACAGTAATCAAAGTAAGAGCGATACGGTCCTCACGATGCGCACTCAGTGTAGGAATGCACCGGAACAGTCCGGGAAAAAGCAATTTTCGGTACCAATTTTCTTGGTTGGCGACAATGACAGAATTTTTCAGCCAATAATTCCGTTCAGATTGCCTTACGATTTTTTACACTAGTGTCAATGGATGTCTGAATCGACAAAGCAAATGAAAATTGAACAAAAAATTGGTATGGCTTAGTATACCATTCTAAAGCATTAAAAAGCTGATCTTGAGATAATCTTGTTTACCCTCGGAAGGGGACTCTTAAGAGCTGTTAAACTACTGCTAAAAGTTCCTTAATGATCAGTTTAAAAGCTCCTCAACGTTCAATTCTCACACTCTGAAATGATAGGACCCTTAAAGGGTATTAATAAAGGCTAGATGTATATTAAAGGTTCTGAAAGTCTCTTGAACACCTTATATTCTGCCCTTAAAGCTATCTAAATATTTTTGGAAGGCATTTAAAGCACCGCAAAAGCTCTTCAAGGCTCGTTTCTTTAAAAGAAGTAAGAGTTTTAAGAACTCTGAGAACCTACTGCGCTTGCAGGGGAGATTACATGACCATCGAAGGTTTTTGGGTGCTAAAGATCTACAAAACATCTTTAAAGACTCTTTTTTGAAGACTTTTTAAAATCCTTAAAAGGACTAATAAACGCTTAAGTGCTCAAAAAAAGTCCAAAAGAATCCTCTTAATGACTCTTGAAAACTGGTTAACACTATTTAAACTTCTTGAAGGCTCTTGATTCCATAATACTAAAAACATGTCAGACTTTATAAGGTTCCTAGAATCTTTCAGACATTCCTGTACCCATTTCATCACGCACAAGACTGCTTTCTTGCCTCTGGGCAATTGAGGAGTGTGTTGATTTAATTCATTCCCCAGAGGAGGACAATTGTGAAGAAAATTCTATTTCAACTTATTATAGGGACAAGGAGGCCGTTTTCGTGACGTTTTTGAGTTTAGTTTATGTATTTTTGAAAGAATTTGTAGATTTTGCAATGGTTTTTCCAGCAATGCTGCTTTATCACCTTCGTTTCTCTACCAATCCTGTGTATGTAGTTAAAACATGGCGAATCTCCCAAACACCCAAGCATGTTGCACCCCTGCCAAACGCCCATAGAAAATAACACCACTGTGTATGGCCACACGGTCTATATAATTTCACTCTAGTTTCCAGTTTTACCGCATAAAAGCACCGGAAATATTTCAAATCTATCCCCACACTATATTTGTACCTCATTTCCAATTCAATATGTCAAACTCATTCCGTTGAACCGTTTTCGGAAAATTCTGTTTCCAAGAATCATGGAAAACATCACAGGAGCATTCGAGTTTCCACAAAGTCGAGTTGATATTAATAACAGTAACTGTGGGTTAGTCCTGGGCCTTATTATTATTATGTATTATGCTGGGTTTTCAACTTACGTTCCAAATAAATTGCTTATCATGTGCTATCTGCCGCTCTGGACAAAATGCGTCCTAAATTTTCAAATTTATGTATTATATACCAGTATATAGTTCGATAAAAATTTGTCTACAGGTTAACAAAATAGAAAAAGATACAAGTGCAATCAATGCAACACTGCCACCTCTCCGCCAGATACTTCATCATCCCGCATAGGATCTTCATGGGATCCGACGATGTGGTCCTCTACGTGTTTCTGACTTTCAACGACATCGTCCTCCACCTCAGTCACTGGAACGACGTTCCGTTTCTGCACGCTTGCTATAACGTGATCATCTAATTTTACACGAGCCATAACAGTTTTAGCTTACCCCCAGTTGAACGTTGCACACAAGCAGTTAACACGAGAATGACAAGAAACAGTCCAACTTTTAACGCCATAATTGCAAAATTTCGTTTGGCAGAGACGTTCGTTGTACAATTTTACAAATATGTTTGTAATAACCATGGTGACAAAAACAAATGAGATCAACCTCAGTTTACGCGACCTTTTATGAAAAATCGACGAGAAGAGGTTTTGGGATTTTTTTGCGGTATTAAATGGTCTTTTGCCAGCAACTACTGGGCTGGTTGATGGTGCCGTTTCTCTAAAACAGGCTAACCCTCATACCTTCTCAAGAGCCGCTTGTAGTGGGAGAAATTGAAGATGATCCAAACAACTGGAAACCTCATTCAATGAGCTTCCAATAATGGTTTGTTAACATAACAAAAAAACTCCATCGCAATACGACTCGAACTTTGAGAACTCGAGTCTCCTAATGGCATGGACAAGGAACAAATCTAGAATTTCCAATTATCCAAAACCTTCATGTTATATTAATCGTTACGGTACGCCGATCGCGAGGAAGTGAAAATGGGCGTCTGATACACTTGCTCTATTTTCTTGAAATGGTGCACACATGACTTGCACGGCTAATTAATTAGAAATACGCACGTAAGCGCGTTTAACTAATTACCAACGTTTCTTATGCGTCGCGATAACTTTAGAAAAGTGAATGTAGATTGTAAAATTATAGTTGGACACCTTACAACTTCAAAGGCAAGTTTTTAGTTACTCGGCGAGCCACTTTATTACGCAGAATCGATTCCTCAGCCTTCAATAGATCTACTATAATTAGCATACGCAGCCAGGATAATTTCGCCATCAATTATCCTTAACGGGCACTCCTGGCGACAGAACATATCGAGCAAAACACTTATCTTCTCCACCGTGTTCATATGACATATATTTTATGGTTAGCTGATCCCAGCTCTTGTAGAGAATTTGCACTTCATGTACTTAAGATATAAATTATATTTGTTGCAACAAATCAATAAAATTTATATTTATATCTTGTTTTGTAAGCGATTATCGATGTGGCCGGTTCGGTAAAAATTAACATACACCGCTACTCGAGAATTTTTCGTTGCACAATTTCGTTTAAGGTAGGTTGTTTTGAGAGATACACCTGCTTGTCCTATTTATTATACGTTTTTGATGAGAGATACTTAAGAGAGCCTGTAGATAGATTTGTACTCTTGGTCTAACGAAACAAGGCTTGGCCACCACTTGCAGACGAGCCCACTTCGAGAAACATATAAATTACTTTATACACATACAAGGGCACACCAGCCGCGGATGGAGTACCAACGTCGACAGCCGACCAACTGTAATAAATAAAATATCCCAATTCTCGTGGTGGGTTACAAATGCGTAGGTGGGATACGGGTACATAACGTTAGGCGTTGTTATCGAATGTAGGCAGAACGAAAACTAAATAATGTCCAATATGTCAGTTAATTGCAGCGTTAGGTACGTTCTTCAGTATTCCTCGGCCTTTTTTCTTATTTACAACGTCCATAAAGCTCGTACTTATCCATTTAGATCTTCTTCAGACTTTAAATCAGTGACAATAATACGTGTATAGTCTGAAACCAAACACATACATTTAATAATTTTTCCCATCGATGTCAACTACTAATCTGATTCGTGTTTCCTGGGTGTAATTTAGAAATACACCTGTATACCTTAACCGTGACCAACATTATAAAAATAAGTATAGAACCCACGTAATGTGGCGGTCAATTTTTTATAGAAATGTGGTTAGAGGCCCATACGCAAACATGCAAGTGTTAAAAGATCTTGATGCTGGTGCAAATGCGAATGTCAGTGGTGGGAAAAGCTGGCGGTGCGTTCAGTTCCACCTTAGTGTGTGTAATTCCAAAATGCCTCGAATGTCGAAGAAACATGAAGATACTATGAAATAATTTATAGAATTGTACACGCAAAATCCGTGCTTATGGAAGATATAGTCCCAAACTCAAACAAGACGATAAAAGATGAAGCATACAAAATATTAATAACCTAAATGAGAGGATATTATATAACGAAGATGCGGAGAAGTAGGACGTTATTAAAAAGATTAATTCTTTACGAATCCGCTTCCGTAAAAAATTTAAGAAAGTTGCGGATTCCATAAAGTCGGGCACTAGTACTGATGACATACGAGATAGGTACACCAAACTTGTGACACTATGACATTCTTCTGACTGGAATCAACACATACTTGAATGGTTTGTGGTCAAAAATGACTTCCGAATTGCTCGAGGACTTCTACGGATTTGCTCACGGATTTACCTGCATGAGTGCTCTGCCAACAACGAGCACAATAGAAGCATTACCTTAAAATTTTGAACGCAGAAACAAATATTTTGGGTCAATATTACACGCGCCCATACGTGGGAGGTGAGGATGTCCACAGGATCTAACGTCAGAAGCTGAATTCCACAGCACTAAACCATCTAAAACACATCATGGCTAAATTGAGAGCTTAATCTTTAATCCCGCGCATGGGCGGCATTTATATCGCCTACGATTCAAATTTAAAATTAGGTGAAACCGATCCTATAGGTTTCTGCGGCGTTAACCAATTTGCAGTGTTGGTTTATTGTACCTGCATTTGTGTCCCAGTGTTGTTTTTCCTTTTGGAATTGTAATTGCGTAATTCTTGTTTAAATTTGATCGCTTTTGTAAATTGTTTATTTAGGTAAAACGTGAAATTGGGTGTTAAGGAGTAGGGACATCTGGTGGTTTGCGATAAGGAGTTTTATTATAGGACGAATTTTGATTAACGCACGTGTCGCTGTTAGAAAAAGGTGTTTCGAAGAATTGCGAGGCGTATGGCATGTTCCCTTGAAACTGGCGTTATCAATTCTAATTGTCATTGGCGGTGTTCCTTTAAATACAGGAATAAACAAGTAAACGAAGCGGCGGCTCCTGCTAGTTGTTAGTTTTCGCGATTGTAAAAAGATCCCAATCCTTTTACGACCAGATTATTTGGAATATTAGATTAAAAAAACTGTAACTAGTTTAAAAATTTTAAATTTTTAGTTATTGATCGCCGGCGTGCGGGGTATTATGTCCAAATAAGCTTTCTGAGCTTTTCTTTCTTGCAGGGATTTTCTTTTAATTGTTTCATATGTTTCGGAATAAATTATTGTCATCGTCAATCAATTAATTCTGTATTTATTCGAATCCTTTGTGCGACCCAGATAGAGTTTTCATGTCAGATTTTTCTATTCGTAATCAAGATTTATTTTATGTTAAGTAAAACTTGTCTAATAAATTGTTTGGAATTTTCGGAAGTTGATCAACGCCCCTGACTGGTACAGCTAATAGTACACCAGACATTCGAAAAAAAAATTGTTTCTCTTGGCCATCATTTTTTCCGTTTAAATAAATAATTATGTTGGCACACCCTCAGCTGTTATTGACACGGGACTAGATAAAATTATACAAACGGAAGTTCAATAAATTTCCGTCATTCAGTCCTGTGATGTACCAGAAACGTAAAACTTAACGTGTAGGTTATCTGCCAAAAATAGTACATTATATATCAAGGTAGAGAAATACAGTATTATTGCCTGAGCACCAAGATTACATCTCGAGGCGCTTGCGCCGACTGGTGTAAGGTACGAAGGCAATAATAGACTTCTCTACCGTGGTATATATACTATTTTTTTCACTACTAGCACTTGAAATCCTCTAAATTAACATGTTATATTGATAAGAAAGTGAACGGTTGGATAGAATTTTTTGTTTATTAATTTAACATGTCAATCAAGTACGTAGAAGTACAAGTCAAACAGGCCGTATTTTGTTCTGTCATTGAGATATTTTCAAAGAGTAATTTCGTTCGAATTTTTTCAAAATATGATAATTTTAGGTATGTAATTTCTCTGGAAATGGCGGATGGTGGCAATTATTCATTTTAGAGAACTTGTCCAAACGTTTATTGAGCGAAATTTCGGGTTGTGTTTTCTAAAAGTGACAGCGTGACAGTTCTCATTATTGACTACTAGTTAATAATGTCCAGATTATTAACCACTTTGAACAAATGCGGAGAAAGCCTACTTTACAAGTGGAAAAAAGGTTAATAATCATGTCATCAGACGCTAGTAGTGAAAAAACAATATTTTGCGTTATTTGGTATAGGCAAAATGACGTTTCATCAGTCTCGGTGTAAAATTCAAGATCGACCTACATACATTGTTTTTTAAAATAATCTGCAGATCATCATCAGAACCAGCAATTAACAAGATAACGTCTGAATTCAACAAGAAGAATACCGGCAAGCTCACGCGGGTGTTTGAAAGGTGACTTTTTTCGTGCTGTTTGAGTAGCATTAAATTTGTTTCCGTTAGATTTAATATAGGCAGTGTTGGAAAGCGATACCGTTGTATTTAGATTGAAGGTGTGCGTATAAAATTACTTTTAAATTGTGTCACGTGTGTTTACGAACACATTAAATTAAAAATCTCTGATAATTTCAGCAAGCCGAGTGTGCGATTTGAAAATTGTTTTGTGGAGTTCTGCGTGACATTTCAGTATTTTGTATTTTTGGATGATCAGGTGGTTCACACAGCAGTATATAATGTACTGGGTTGAGAGAACAAGCGTAACTGAAACTCTGGTGGTAAGTTTTTGAAAATTCGAAAAAATTCCAACAATTGGACCGATTCGGTTCAAACTTTGCATGGTTGATCTAAATGCCACATGTAACACGTGTATTGAGAATGGATCAAATCCAATGACCCCATAGGGTTACGCCGCTCTGTCATTTTTCTTGATCCGCATTACGGTAAAGAATTGTTCTTCTGAAATGTGCTTCGCATGTCAGAAAAAATTAGGAATATTTTTCAGTTATGGTGCCAAGTGTTTCAGACGAAATAGTATATTTCATTAGGAGTCCGGAAAGCAGGCTTTTTCCGTGCGCGCGTGGCAAATTCCCGTGTGAGGCGTATTCAGCGCACGGAAAGAATCAAAGGGACCGGGAAAAGTTTTTCCGTGCGCTAGCCTGGAAAAGGCCAGATACCATTATTTCTAATACAGGTGTAAATAAGCTGATTTCAATGAAGTATAATAAAAAAAAGTTTTTCAGTTTAGGTACTCATGATCAAAGACATGTGAGTATCAAATTGTCGAAACG